GTCACAAAGCCATCAATATTGGGAGATGCGATTCAAACTCAAATATACCTTTAAACAAGTCTTTCTACAACGTATTGTCTCTCACAGAAAAGGTCAGGTATTATCTAACAGAAATATGATGCAAGCCACATATGCAGTTTCGAATTTTCTATTAGCCACATTAATAATAATCAAAAGAGGCCGAGCATGGTATCTCACATCTGTAATCCCAGCACTTTGGGGGTAGTGAGGCAGGGGGATGGCTTGAGCCTAGGAGTTACAGACCAGTCTGGGCAAGATGGTGAGACCCCCATTTCTACAAAAATAATAATAGAAAGAAACAGGTAAAATTAATTTCAATAATATATTTTATTTAATCCAACGTTTCTACATTACCACTTCAATATGTTTCAATATAAATTGTTAATGTAATATTTTATGTTCTTGGGTAAGTGTATGCATAGTCTTTGAAATCCAGTGTGTATTTTACACTTACAGCACAACTTAATTCAGACTGGATACATGTCAAGTGCTCAATAGCTCCATGTGGCTAGTGGCTACTTTACTGGGCAATGCTGGTCTAGAATGTCTTGCATATTAACCTCATTACAAAACTGACAAGTCATTACAGGAATCATTTAATAGAGACAATGAATTCAATGTTAATTTACCTAGACTTTTGCCAAAGACAGATAAAAAAGAAAACTGCATATTCTGTTACAATCAAAGTTAACAGGTTTAGGTAGCCCCAATTCTGCCAAACTGACTCATCACCTACTAACTCTGAGAATTTATACAGTTGACCCTTGAACAATGTGAGGAATTAAGAGTGTCTACCCACTGCACAGTCAAAATTCCAGGAAAACTTTTGACTTTCCAAAAATTTAACTGCTAATAGCCTACTATTGGCTGGAAGCTTTACTGATAATATAAACAGTGGATCAATATATATTTTCTATGTTGTATTATATATTGTTTTCTTGCAATAAACTAAAAAAACGAAAATGTTATTAAAAAAATCAAAAGGAGGCCAGGTGCAGTGGCTCACGACTGTAATCTCACCACTTCGGGAGGCTGAGGTGGGCAGATCATGAGGTCAAGAGATCGAGACCATCCTGGCCAACATGGTGAAACCCCATCTCTACTAAAAATACAAAAATTAGCTGGGTGTGGTAGCGCACACCTATAGTCCCAGTTACTTGGGAGGCTGAGGCAGGAGAATCTCTTGAATCCGGGAGGCGGAGGTTGCAGTGAGCCGAGATCGCACCACTGCACTCCAGCCTAGTGACAGAGTGAGACTCCGTCTCAAAAAAAAAAAAAAAACCATAAGGAAGAAAAATATATTTACGTTCATTACGTAGAAATGGATCATCATAAAGGTCTTCATCCTTTTCAGGATAAGGAGAAAGAGGAGGCATTGGTTTTGCTCTCTCAGGGGTGGCAGGGGCAGAAAAAAAAATTCTTGTATAAGTGGAACTGCACAGTTCAAAGCCTTGTTCAATGGTCAACTATAATTTCAACTGGGCACAAAATAGGGCATACATGTAATACTTAGAACAGTCATGTGAAGAAGTCCTCAGAAAACACCCATATTATTTGAAAACAAAGATTTTTTTAAAGTTGGAGGAAAAGGGATGCTTTTATTTTAACCAATAGGGGGATGTAAAACAACAGCATAATTTTAACTGCAGGCCAGAATTAATTTGCCAAACATAAATAACTCAAACATACATAATTCCTACTGGAATGAATGACTTGTAAATTTTACACCAAACTTAATATGATGATCTATTAAGAAGGTAACATAAAAAAAAGAAAAAGTCTAAAACCAAATTAGATACTTTGCCCCTAACAATTCTGAAGGAAAAAAAAAGTGACAAGTAAAACTTAAAAATATACAAAGCGGTTTAGGGATTATCAATGAATTTAAATCTTGACCCATTCAAATAAGTGAAAAATAAATACAACTAAAAATGAAGTAATATTGTACCATTTATAATTTGTAACAACTCCAACTATTCATACTCCCACTTTTCAAGTCAGTCACAAGATCAAAGTCGAGTTTTCTCAGGTAATAGATTCAAGCAAGCGATTATCTTTAATCAAAGAAAAAAAAAGAGCATGTAACATCAATATAAGTACATATAAAAACAGACAAATATCAATTATAAATATTTGAAGACTTACTGTATTTTTCCAATTATTAACAGCTAATGTAAGATTTTTACCATTTATTCAAAATACACAAAACAGGAAATGTTCTACATTAAAGCACTTAGTGACAGAAAAAATACTTGAAATGTTCCCACTTTTAGTATACAACTAAAAAAAAAATTATATATACATAAAAGGAGTAGATAAATCTAAATGTGAGTTAGCAGACACATCTTAGTATTTTTTATGAACCAGTCCCAAATTGAGATATGTAACTAAATGCCCTAATCATCGCCTGCTAAAAATTAGCTGAGAAAAAGAATAGGTCATACTTGGAAACTTCAGACAAAACTCATTTCAACTAAATGGGGTCTGATACTTTATTTTAAAGAATCACTTCCCTTTAAGACGTTACTATGTGGCAATCTACTTACTGCCTTCACAATCTTTACACTAGTGCATTAAACCCTTTAATTTTTCTCAAAACAACAAAAAAGTGGGCTTTGCATTTTATTTCAAAACATGAGATGTAAAAGTGAACAAATACTGTCTTTTAATCATATCACACACAGATGTTTCTTAGCCAGCAACTATTTCATAAATAAGGAAGCTCTTTGGCAAATTATCTGTGTGACCTTGGTCAAGTCAAAAGACCCCCAGTCTTTTGTTATCTCATCCTACTGTATAATTCTGTAATTCTAAGTTCTAAATGCTTTAATTAGCAGTCAGTTAACAACACTTTGGATTTGAATTAACCCAAAAGGTAATACGCCACAAAAACTAAACACAGTCCATAAGTAAGCACAGGTGGTTGTAGCCAAGTGTTACATAAATTGGTTTCTATATCCACAAAGATGTTGTTCCACAAATTCAGATTCCTCAGGCACAAGGCAACCAGATAAGAGAATGGAAAAGGCTCAGTACCTTCTCTTACTAACACGGGAGAAAAATACGCATTCGAATTCCCAACTGTCAGAGCTGTTAGATGTTTCCTGGTAGTATATGGTTAACATATAAAATAATACTCTTTAAACAGATCGATATTGTGAAAACAACATATTTAATATCCTTTTCTTCTTTTAACTCAAAATATCGTTTTGGATCCTTTTTTAAAAAAGTCTGTTCCTTTCCTCTGACAATTTAAGTTGGTGGAGACTGAAACAAAACACTTTGTAAGTTGACATCTCCTTTTAAAAAAAGTTAATTTTTTCTTTCTCTTGTCTAAAAGACCAGCTATTTGGAGAAAGTTTTCCTGATGATTATAATTCTACCAAGTTTTGAACAACCAGCGAAGAAAAAAAAATATTTAAATGTATTTCCATTCTGCCCACATGACACACTGGCCCATTTGAGACATAAATTCTAAATGAAAGATTGGACTGAACAACATCCTCCACTTTAAGATACACAAGGCACCAAAACAAACACATCCAAAATCTATTTTTAGAGTGGTGTTTCACTCTTCCGGTTTTCTCTTTAAAACGAAATTTACTTGACCTACTTTCATGTGTTTTTAGGGCACCCAGGCACTCTATACAAACAATATTTGCTAGTCATAAAACAGCAAAGCAAAAATCACAAATCCTGGTATTAGTGTGGGACATTTTCTCCATGTGTCCTTACGTGCCATGTCTTTTAAAAGTCTAAATATAGATTCACTGACTAAAATGTCCTAAGTCTTCCAAATTCTATAATTATATACTGGATTGAATGCCATTATACGTTCACATCCCATTTGAAAAGTACACACACGGGGTGGGGGTGATGCGCCCAGTACCTGAAACGTCAATCATACAAAGAACAAAGCGTTCCCTATCTTTGGGCTTTCTTCTCACCTCAGTTCTACACTGTTTCAATATTACAAAAATATTAAACAAAATGTTCAAAACTTGAGATATAAGTGCTCACTAAAATGGCACTTGTAGAAAAGAAATTAAAACGTATACCAAAATGATTAACGATAAAAAATTCTAGTTGCCAGGATGTGTGCGTAAACTTACAGTCCTGTAGGTTTTACCTGTGGAGAGGACGGTTCCTTCTCCACACTCTTAAAAACAATTTTACATTCTTTAGAAGCCTTCGCAAAATAAATAGCGACAACAATGGAAGACCCACACTCCTCTCATGGGATGGAGGGTAGGAAGAGAACTCCCCACCCAACAAACAGAACAAAGCAACAGTCTCAGCTTTCAAGATGCACAGAGGGTTTGGAGGCTCAAGGGATACTGTGAGATCTCTTAATTGTTCCGATGCTTCAACAGCCGTCAAAACAACTAAGAATATGCAGCGCTGGGCTTCACTAGAACAAGGTGCAGGGATTGCTCTCTTCGTATTAGCCAAGACCAAGACACCGAGGAGGAGGAAAAAAAGGAAGAAGAGAGAGAAGAGAAAGCAGCAGCCAGAGACACTCCGGGAAAAGACAAAAATGCAGACTGTACGCCCTGGCTTCGATCTGACCCAAGGCCTAAACTGTCTGACCCCACACGGGAAACAGGGAGCAGGCTACTGTCGAAAAACCATCGCCGCCCCTACACCTCGAGGCCAGGAGGTCCCCGGGTAAAGGCCTGAAACCACGGCCCAGGGGGAGGAGAGGGACCCGCCTGCCACCCGAGGCAGCGACGCGGGCTCAGGCGGAAGAGGCTGCGCAGTAATGGCCGCTGCTCCGCCCCTCGCACCCGGACCGAGACCAGCTCCGGCCGTCACCTAGGGCAGGGGCTGCGGCGCCCTCGGGCAGCGCATGGGCTGTCACGGTCGTCTTGCCTGCCCCAGCAGCCAAGGCGGGGGTGGTGGAAAGGGCTGAGCTGTCCCATCCCGCCTCTGCGCGGACAGCCGGGGCCGCGCCAGCCCAAGGGCGTCCATCTACGTACCGGCCCCTGACCCCGCCGCCGCCCCTCTCAGGCCCTGAGCGCAAGGCCGACCCGGAGTACGTTGCGGCTGGAGGTGACACCGCGAGGTATGCCTCCTCTCCCCGAGTGAGGATCCTGGAGTGGCCGGCGTTCACCCTGCTCCCCCGAGAGGGCCTCGCTCCGACTCCCACCTCTCCGGCCACAGCTGCGGCCACCTCGCAGTCTTTTCTCTCTGGCCTCGGAGCCCGCAGCGGCCGGGAACGCGCGCGGCCGTCACGTGACCACTCGGCGCGTCACGGAGGCGGGGCCGCGCGGGGCGGAAGCCGTGCCGCGCACCCGCGAGCTGGCTCAGGCGTCTCCTTTTTCTGTCCCTGCATCGCTTCGCTGCCTGCCCGCACTCTCTTGCTTGTGGGCACCGGCGACTTCGCCGCTTGGATTCTTCTGGCTGCTTTAGAGTGTGCTTTGGTTGTATTAGGGCCCAGAGGCGCTGAAAGAATGCAGTTCCAGCAGAGAGAGATTTGGGGTGGAGGAAGTAAAACGTGTGTAGGCCCGGCAGGTGGTGCTGCTCAAAAATCCAGCTTTGCTATCCCGAGGAAGCCCTGGGGCGCCTAGCTGAGTTTCGGCTTGAAGATCCCTTAGCAAAAGTACTGCTTGTTCCACTTCAAGAAAAAAAAAAAAAGGAGGGTCGTGGGCGGGGATGGAGGGGAGAGAGTACTTTAGGACTTTGCAATTTATTCACCTTTTTAATGGTTGAGCAATTTAATACGGGAAAAAAATGGTATTTTATTTTGAGCCCTCCCCTTTTTAAAAAAACAGAATAGTGCGTGAGAAACTGAAGAAAGAAATTAATCTGCGTGAGAATCTAAAATTAAATAGGTTATTTTGGTCGCAAGCCTGTGGTTTTAAACATCAGACCTCTAGCAGTAATTCACCATTTTAGCATGTACGTTTCCTGTTTCAGAACTGATAAAATTTTCCTAATGTGTAGGAAAATGAAGAGGGTGGAAGAGCAGACCTTTTATCTTTAAAAGAGTATGTATTTCAACATTGTGTGACAGTGTCTTCTCGCATTTTGGGATTTCATTAACTGATTCAGGATTGAAAGTTTTCAGTGCCCTTATAGGTATAGAAATGTATATGTTTTCTGTTATTCTCCTGAAATCAGTTTATTTCAGGGTTTTTATTCACATATATTAATATGTCAACCAATCTCTTGAAGGGTGCATCTAGTTCAGTGATGCTTGTGCATGTATGCAATACTGTTTTTCTTATAAGTTCTATACATGTAGAAATATTGAAGTGTATATCCTTTAAGCTTAGTTTTCTATCTTTATCTTCTTATTAGCCACTCAGTTTTGTCCCTGTATCCTACACAGCCCAAGAACAGAGAAGAGCTAAAATTTGATATGTACTCGAAGATTCCAGCTTGAAGAGGTAATGCTAGTATTAACTAACGATGTACCGGGTGTTTCTCTAAGTGCTTTATTCATATATACCCATTTAATTCTCCTAATAAACTATGAGGTAGACACTATTATTCTTCCCATTTTACAGAGAGAGACACACAGCTAAGATTTGAATCCAGGCACAGACTGTAAGATGTCAACTAGTTCCACCTCTTCTCACTCATACCCAGGGTCTTTGTATTTCAAATGGCTGCATTTTTCTTTGTTCAAACACATCTTTAATTCATCTCTTTTATGTCTTATATACATTGACATATAATCTGTTGGCTCTTCCTTCAGAGTATATCCAGAATCCAACTGCTTACCACCTCCACTACAATCTGCATTATCACTTGTTTGGATTATAGTATTATGGTAGACCAAGAACTAGTCTTTTCTTTGACTCTGTTCTCAATACAGAATCCAAAATTACTTAAAAAGAAGTGAGATCATACCACTCCCTTACTCAAAGTCTCCTATGGCTTCCCAACACAAGTACAAACCAAAGTCCTAACAATGACTTTAAAATCCTCCCCTCATTACATCTTTGACCCCACAGACTGTTTACCCAGCTTTGTATTCCCAGAAAGCTCTCCACAGGCTCCCAACCTCATAGTCTTTGCAGTTGCGGTTTCCTCTGCTTAGAACACTCTTCCCCGTCATGCTCCCTCCATATGTGCTCAGATGTCCAACTCTTCAGTCAGTCCTTCTACTTGTCACCACATTTTAAATCATGACATTTCTCATTCCCGATATTTCATATTTCCTCCTTTACTTTTTAATACTTATCACAATGTAATGGATAATTTATTTTACTTACTAATCTTCATCATATGTCTCTTCACATTAGGACGCAAGACTTGGGAGGCCAGGAATGTGTGTTCTATTTTGTATCTCAACTGCCAGGAATAGTGCCTGACCCATTTAAAGAGGTTCTCTGTAAATATGTGTTACATGAGTGAATGAATGAATGAATGAATGAATACACGCATGGCCGGGCACAGTGGCTCACGTCTGTAATCCCAGCATTTTGGGAGGCCGAGGTGGGTGGATCACGAGGTCAGGAGATCCAAGACCATTGGGGCTAACACAGTGAAACCTCGTCTCTACTAAAAATACAAAAAAATTAGCCAGGCATCGTGGCACACGCCTGTAATCCCACCTACCCGGGAGGCTGAGGCAGGAGAATCGCTTGAACCTAGGAGGCGGAAGTTGCCTGAGATGATGCCACTGTACTCCAGCCTTCACTGCAACAGAGCGAGACTCTGTCTCAAAATAAAAAACCATGTTCATGTATGTGACTGTGTGTGTGTATACACATACATATGTATATACTTATGTATACACATATGTATACATATATACATGATACTTATGTATATGTACATATATACATATATACTTATATGTATATACTTATATGTACATATATACATATATACACTTATGTGTGTATATATACATATACACACTTTTTATATATATTAATAAAAGTGAACTCATTATTTTTCAGTAGTTGCATATGAAGAGCAGAATTGAATGCATGGAATACTATACACCCTACCTCCATCAGCCACTTGAAAGAAAGATAGTGAGAAGTTTATATCTTTGAATAATACAGGACAGCACCTCTCAACATTGTCAGAGCGCTGGTTTCCAGTAATTAAGAGTAACTGGTTTCCAGTAATTTTAAGTACCAAAACTTCAGATTATTTGCTTAAAGAAATAAATCCGAGCCTAACAGTTTCAATATATTTCTGTAACAATGTTACTATAACTGGGATTCCATTTCGCTTCATTCAATCAAAGGTAAAGAAGTTGCAGCTGACTGCTAGGAATTACCTAGTGGCCTGTTTGATTATAGCTCATTGTCTATTTCCCACAACTTAAAAAATGCTTTCCTGAAGACTACACATCTCCAAGCGCCTACTCTTCTCCACATATCCTTCCAACACTCAAAATTGTCCAATGTTGTTTGTTTTACTTAAGGATCAAAGCATTTTTTTTGTTTACTTAATATTCTAAGACATCCATGAAAATGCATTTCATGAGAAAATGATGTGTTACAATAGAATGTATGTTGAAACCACTGATGTGGCTAATTTAGGGTGGCGGTGTTCAAAGTGTTATCTGGTGACCCGTATGGGTCTTGTGACTCTTGTGGAGTGTCTGATAGTAAATTGTTCTTATAATACTACTAAGACTCTAGTTACTTTGTTTACTTGCACTCTCTCAAATGTACAGTGGAGTTTTCCAGAAGCTACATGATATGTGATATAACAGTAGATTGATTACAGAAGCAGATACGAGAATTTGACTGTATCTATTAAACCAGTCATTAAAACGATGTACAAAAAATGTAAAACTCATTCAGTTAGCTTTGTTTTGGAAAATGTAGGGTTTTTTTTTTATATAAAGTATGGTAATACTTAATGGGTCTTATTTTTAAATGAACTAGTACATATTGTAAACCATTCTCAGTTTCAACTTTTAATTTGGTAAGTATTGGTTAACTCATAAACAAAAGTTCTTTGGGGTCTTCTATAACTTAACACTGTCAAAGCGTCCTGAGACCAAATGAGAATGCTTGTCTGGGGCTATTTTGCTTACCAAGTCCAAGTTAAATTTCTTCCCTTTTCACATGCTGGCAATCATCTGATAGCTATGGACACAGCTTTCTCGTATGCCTGGAAACAGAACAAACCAGATTCAGGAACGTACCAGTCATTGGAGCTAGCAGATGAATGGAAATCAAACCAAGAGGAAGCTCTGGAAAGCAAATTTTTTTTATTTTAATTAAAAACTTTGTTCCCAGAGCTGATAGATAGGTTGGTTTCTGTCCTATCATTTGATGTTCTTCTTTCAGTAATCAAACAGTATATTATTTTCTAGTAGAATTCCTTTGTAAATAATAATATACTAGCCAGTTTAGCTTGTATTTTTCTTTTACCTAATGTGATTATCAGTGCTTTCTCTTCTAATGGTTCTTAATGTTCCCACATCAACCACGGACATTACAACTGAATTAGGATAATGTATGGCTAGAAAATAGCACAAGAGTCACTGAGTCAAAGTTTATGGTTTGACTATAAAGTCAACCATGCATTTACTTCCTAACCTGTTTGTACATATATAATATGTATTTATTACTTTTTAGATGTCTTCTATTGACAGTAGTAGCTTTGATATCTCCAAAGTCTATGCTTGTTTCATTAGATGACATAACCTTTCCTTGAGCATAGTATTGAAAGATAAGAATAAATGCTGTATTTTAACAGTGGAGGTTTTTTAAGCTAGCTTATTATTTTAACAAAATAGTCACTTAATGTACTCCATCACGTAAAGGAAATTGCTTATGGTCATCAAAGCAGCAACTATGTTTTGTGATGTCACATTTTCCTCAAAATGGTTAGGATTTGGGAAATCAAAATTACATGGTTTATAAGCATCCATATTTAGGATTTATTTATGAAGCCCTATGCGTACTGTATGAGTTTAATATAATTATAACCTAAAAGTTTGAAGTATTTTCACAGAAGTTTGCCAAGCAAGATTCTGTTTGGAAAACAAAAGCCACCTTAAGTATTTCAGACAGAGGCTCTAATGTGAAATGGTAGCAAAAGTGTTGGAAAACTGAAGGAACTAAAAAAGAAAGATGAGGATACCTTGAAATCAGTAACTGCAGAAAGTCACCAGCTCATCTAAGTTTGGAGGAGCAAAGGGTGTTCTGGGAGCTCCTGGAAGCTTCTGGAGCACTTTTTATGAATTGCTGTAATAGGAAGTCAGGGTCCCAAATGCTCATTGAGCCTGCAGAAGTCCAGCAACTCAGCCATAAGCAGTCACCTACCACTCCAATGTCAGAACCAGAAATGAATAGGAAAGAAATCACCTTCTCCTTTCCACCTTCTTTTTCCATGTGAATGCCTTCG